CATGAACATCTCTGTCCCCTTAAGATTATAACAGCTCACTCTCTTTGCAAAGTTTTTCTGGATGTTAAGGTGAGCCTTATACATAACTAACAAAATATTGTAATCAACCAAATCATAAAATTTCAATTATTTCAGTTTACAGAATWATATATTAGATGGATAACGGTAATGTTTTCGAATAATTACTCTTACAGCTCTTTTTTGCAAAACAAAACCAGGATGTATAATTGTCTTACATGCTTGCTTTACCTCATACCTCAACACAATAGACCAAGTGTGGAACAATTAATGTGTTATATAACATATACAGAGCTTTATCATTGAACAAGTCCCTTACATTGTAAAGCAATGCAATACATTTAGCTAGTTTATTTCTTAAATAATTAACGTGAGGTCTCCACGTCAGTTTCTCATCAATAATAACACCYAAAAACTTCACCTCGCTGATCTCCACACCATCAACTCTAAATGGAGTATTGACATTTTTCTTTTGCGCATTGTAAATATCATATAATTAGTTTTATCCAAACTGAGTGATAACTTGTTAARTTTAAACCAGTTTTGTATTTTTGGAAATTCTGTTAGCATTTTCTCTAACATCCGTTCTATGTCTTAACTCAAACAAAAAAATGTGGTATCATCTGCAAATAAAACACATTTAAAGAGCCCTGACGCATTGACCAAGTCATTCACATACAAAGTAAACAACTTTTGTCCAAGTATAGAACCCTGGGGAACTCCACACGTAATTTCACATAGTTCAGATCTGACATCATGTACTTGCACAAACTGTTTCCTATTTTCCAAAAAACTGCATAACAGAAATGTTCCCCCCACATTTAAAACCCTGAACGTCTGTGCCCGGTGACGAAAGACTAATGTTCAAGACGTGTTCCCAACAAATTCTTGACCTTTACAAATATAGAAAGGGGCATCAGAGAGCCCTCCAGGCACACTACTGATTTCTGTTGGAGCTGAACACGTTTTACAGCCAAAACATGAAAAAATAAGCATTATTTTACAAATATTTAAAAAACGCAGGACGTACAACATTACACGTGTAAGTATTGAAATTTCTTTTTTTTTTTTTTTTACATTTTGGCTGATGAGGGAAAAAATCCCACCACCTCAGTAACGGTTACTCTATGATTAAAATCTAACTGAATAAATCTGAAATGACTTTTACACAGAAAGCTGTTATAAAGTCAACAAAATTTCAAGTTAATGCGGTCTGGGACTACACTGTGCCGGGAATGCTGCTGAGCTGTAGAGAAATGGATGTGATACAATAAAAAGGTTTGGACCTCTAAAAATTAGGGCTGTGTATTGGCAAGAATTTGGCGATACGATACATATCATAACAGAGGGGTCATGATACAATATATACAGATGTATTGCGATACTGTAAGCAAGGCAATATATTGCGATATATTG